ATACCATCGATACGTTCTTTCTTTTTCCTCTTTTTGCTCACGAAGTCTCTGCTCCTCTTTCGTTTGCTTAATATCCTCTGAGCATTTGCTGAGCTCCTCGTCATCTGCCCTGGTCCACTCGATAGCGTCTATAATCTCGGGCTTGTTGTAGGCCCGTGTGCTCAGATTTGGGCGCACGTTAAAGAACCCCAGGTGGTCGAAATTTCCGGAGCCCTCCACTACGGCGTCTCTCATAATCATATAGTGGTTTTGGGACGTTAAACCCCACAAATCAATCAATCAATAATCTCGGGCTTTCTTTTTGTCTCGGCAATTTGCAGTCCCAGCTCTCGGGCCAACTCGAACAACTCTGGCTTTTTAGTACCTTCAAATTCATGGCTGTCCTTGGTGCTGCTAACTCTTAACTAAAGAACTTTGACTTACTATTAGTACTATCAAAGCACCAAATCAGTGCTTTGTTTACAAATCCTACGCAAAGCCTGGTGATATCTCAGCAAAGAAAAGCAGTGCCCTCACCCTATGCAGTCGTGAATTCGGACGCGTTCTTTCCAGTATTGTCAGTACTGCCACAAAGAACTTTCGTGTGACGCTAGGTTCTCCAGGCCGCAAGTCTCAGCATTGCCTTCTGTTCGATGAGCTCGATCCCATGCTGTCAACCAGTTCTTGCGACTCGTGTCCAGTGGGTCTCGTCATTAGTAGCTGGCCACCCCATCGGACTTGTCCATTACGACAAGGAGCAATGCTTGTATGGGAAAACAGAGAACAGACGTTTGTTTGCATTAGAGAGATGTCAATAAGAAAGTTTAGTTACATAGTGGCATTCTTCGTACATGGCGAGCTCTCCACTCGAAAAAGCACTCCAAATGATCCTGGGGGGGGGGGGGGCTCATTATAAAGGGTACACTCTTAGAAAAAAGTTAGTAGTAATTGCTAACTTTGGGGTAGTAACGGTTTGTCACATATGTTACAACCCTGGTAGTAAGAGCAGTTAGTAACGACGAGGATGGTAACAGTTTCCACCTTTGCTGTTGCTACCAGTATTTAGAAATTGTCACTACCCTAGCCGTTACCACCCATGGGTAGTAACTTTTAAAGGTTTGAAAAAAAGTAGCGACCGATACTACCCCGTTCATTTATTTTGGCATAGTTTTTCTTCATTGCTAATGTTGGTCAATCAATGTCTAATTACTACACAACTTCAGGTAATCTTGCGCGGTGTGCAATGAACGCGATGAATACATAAACCAAAGAAGTTCGCTATCTTTTTACGCTACAGTATGAAGTACCTGTGGGGTATATATAGCCCCTACTTTGCACATGCATATCTGGCCAGGGGAAGCACTTGTCTTTATGGATGAATTATGGCAAATGTGAATCTGGAGCACTATATCATACTACCTGACTAAGTGTGCTTGGGGACGTAGCACAAGACTTTCAATCAGCTTTACTCTTAAAGGAAAAAGATATATGTCAGATCTATTTATTATAGAAGAGCCACAAAAAAGGCATTATTCACAGTGGCCGAATCAAGGTACCGTACTTATTAACATAGTATTAGTGCATATGAATGCTTCACACAGCTAATATATCAGCGGTTAAAAGGTAATAATCCTTTTGAGGGTTTGACGTACCAAAACGACGATAATATTTGGAGACACGCCGCAGGGAAATAATTGTGACTATCCTCCAGAATTGTGACCGTCTTGTTATTTTGATCCGCCGGTCTTGTTAATTTTCTGTAATTTACTGTTTGCTGTAATTGTATATTACAACGCGTGTAGCACTTGCTTATGGTTTGTTAACTTGTACTTCTTCGTTTCGACAATATCAGAATGACGTTTACATATCTCGGTTGCGTAATATAAAACGAATTTTTTCTTTATCTATGGGTCTCTCCCGCGTCATCTTTCCGTTTAATGATGATACGTCGAGACGATTCCTCTCATAAATTATCAGAATCTGAAATCACACAATTTTTTAAATTAAATAGTCAGCAGCCACATAGCAAAAAAGTAGTAAAGGAGCAAGACAGGTAGTAACGGATGCAGTTACATATTTTCATTGCAGTTACTATTTATTAACAGAGATAGTAATTAGGTCATAAAAAGTTAGTAATGGCTTCATCTAGTAACTGTTTACTAACGTAGGTAGTAAACAGGTTGAAAAAAGGTAGTAAGCGCTGCAGTTACTCCCTGTTTGCTTGCAGTTGCTACCTTTTTACTAACTTTTTTAAGAGTGTGTGTTCTCCCCAGATCCCTAGATCGGGGAATGCATACAGGTGGAACTGTGCAATCACGGGTCACACATAACCGGCGAGTGTGATGGGCATGCACGGCCCACGTGAACGTCTAATATTAAAGCGTGGTCTCTGCATGGCCATGTGGCACAAACGTGGCTCTTCCTCGTCGATGTGGGCCGTTGGACGAGGGCTCTGAAGCTCATGACAGCATCTATCAAAAGGGCTCCCGTAAACAAGCTTAAAATGGTCTGCCAAACTGCCCACTTAATTAGCTGGGCGACTTGCGGTCGCTGCCGCCGTCATCTTGTAAGGAAGATGCTGCACTTGTAGTCGTCTCCCGAACTGCTTAAGGCGTCGTGCTGGCAAGACGCCTCATCCTCCGGCCAGAAGGGGAACAATACATGGCGAACATAGGCCGCCGACTGGTGGGCGACTTCTTTGAACATAAAAAAGAACGCCGACCCCTTGTCAGCCCCAGCGTTAGTCATAAAAATGGGTAAAATTGCACGACGTGCTATGCCATGTGAAATCCGCTAAAATAAAAAGTCCACCCATTGCAAAGTGTTCACGGGTAATTAATCGGGAACGTCATCAACAAGGTGTGCGCCTGCGTTTATATTGTCTCGTTGACGCGTAGTGGTTACTACTTCGCTGATTCCCAATATGATGACTCGTGGTGTAGTGCGCTCTCGAATGCTCCGGTAGCATGCGTCCATTTAAAGAGAGTCCACAATAGGCAGTGTTACGTGGACAGGCATTCATTTACTTGCTGTATGATTGAGATGTTCACTCAGAAATGAAGTCTGGCCTGTAAACGAGAAGACGACGTGAACAGGGTCAGATTACGCTATAGCGTTCTACTCTTGAAGACGACGCTCAGGCATCCTCATGTTTCAGATCAACCTCCGTGTGGCGATGTCTTCGTTCTGGTGAACGAGGAACGCGGAAGTGTATGTGTAGTTTGAAACCTTAACAATTAGTCCAAAGTTTCTAGTGGAGATCGTTTATGCATGTATTATAAATCTGCACGTAAGTCGCGAAGAGTAGGCGAAGAATAGGCGGCGTTTGTGGACGTTACTGTACCATATGTTTATCAAATTTTTAGGTAATGTGCATCAAAATCAGAATATCGTTGAGGCATAGCAGAGTTGGGTTTCTGGATACGTTTTTACTGCAGGGAATCACTTAGCATTCCAGTGCATCCAATTTCGTTTAATAATACCCTGAGCCCCAAAAGGTTGTCACAGTGATGAAGCCTATATACACAAAGCAATATATTTGGGAAAAAAAGTCGCTGTGATTCATCAGAGCCACAAATACATTTGAAGGGGAAATAGCTAGAATAAAAATATAACAAACCTTGCCGAATTTGATAACAATGCTAATGCAGAGAAAAAATTATCACAAGGCAATTCAGTAATTTTAGAAATGCGCTGGCCGAATCTCACTTGACTACTGAGTTGACGCATTCCATTGCCTGAAGACTCTGCAGGAAAGAGACTGTATACCTAAAGGTTTGACTTCGCTAGTGGAGTTGAACATCCAAAAGCAACTCAGGCTATGAAAGACGGTGAAATGAAGGGTTACACATATTTAAACCATCTGGTGTATATTAATGTGCACTTTCATCTCACGGCACACGGACCTTTAACCTTTCATTTCCATCAAAATGCGACCGCCGTTGCTGGTTACGGAGCCGCTCCTTGCAGGTCTGCTGCCACGCAAACGCTACAAGTGTACCTGTAGCTTTCATTACGCGGTATGAGAGGTGATATGCATGAACCCTTTCGGTATCCTGACTCTCGGGTGAGTAGTAATTTTAAACTTGCACCGAAATCAATGTAAGGGAGCATTTTTGCATTGTTGCCTTTATCGAAAATGATAGGAAGACAGCAGAGGAGATGTTACTTCCGCGGTGGCTGACTGCGCGGTTACAATATTCGACTTTTAATCCGAAAGTCGCGTGCTTGGCCTCGGCCACTAAGATGACATTTGGATGATGTCAAAGTGATAGACTGTTGCGCGGTGTCATTTCAGTGAAAGAGCCTGAGGTAGTCAAGATTATCCAGAGTCTTCCACTAAGGCCTGTCGCGCACAGCCTGAATCACTTTAGGACCAAACTGTCCAATACCAGAGGGAATCAAAGAACTAACATGGACAGCCGATACCATAGTTGACGTGACGTTAGGAAAAAAAATTGGAATACGCTTGAGGTTCACTGTCAAGTGCAGATGTCGATCGCATAAACGAGCCCCGTACGCATCACCTTCTCAATTGCTAGTGTACCTTCAATCCTTGATACACAGCACTACCGTGTCATAAGGAAACGAGTAAATGACCATTTAGAACTATCCCAGAGCGCCTACTGCAAGTGTATTTGAGAAATTTGTAAACAGGGAATGGTTGCAAGAGCTGACATTTTGAGATGTGGACTAGTCTTTTTCAAGACTGATTTCCTTTGAATTTGTGTATATATGCTTCGTACCCTCTCCACCAATCCCAACAAAGGAGAAGGAGAGCATACAAAACCTTGTTTTGTGTCTTCATTGAATAAACCGACAGTGGCACACTTTGTGCTATGGTAGACGCATACGTATAAAATGATTGCGTTGGCACACTCGATGTGTCATGACCATTTTAACTTGTGCCGCAATATTCAAAATAACAAAACATTTGCTTAACTGGCCATGGGAGCGGCAACCGTGTGTTTTACGTAAAATTGTCTATACTAGTGTCGCTAAATGCGTACCGGGGTGCGCAGGGGGACCCGGATCCGGCAAGGGCACACAGTGCGACAAGATAGTGGCGAAGTACGGCTTCACACACATCTCGTCGGGTGACCTCCTGCGGGCTGAAGTGGCGTCTGGCAGTGACCGGGGCAAGCAAATCAACGACATTATGAAGCAGGGACAGCTTGCACCGCTGGTAAGTGACTCATCCTTTAAGCGACTGTCTACCGTCCTTCACTGCTTTTCTGTTTTGTGTCGCAATAAAAAGCCTATCATCTGAACTGTCTAACCATGCAGCAGCTTGTCTAGAAAGTGTGTAGAAACTTTTAAAATAAAGTTTTTTTTTCTGCGTTTGGTCTCCTTCCATCAGTCGGGTAAATGATCACAAGTCTGGTCGGTGACGGCGACAGCAATTGTACTGCCGGTGAAAGTGGAAAACTGAAACCGCGTGCAGTTTTTGCAGGCTTCACAATAAAACTAATACTTTGGTGGTCGTTTAAACCGTTCACACACATTTTTGTTGTTCTTACGAGTGGCGGTGGGCACCGTGCTCGCGTTTCTCCGCTGCAGGCATGCAGGCATGCAGGCAGGCATGCAGGCAAGTGAACAAACCACATCGCTGGCAGCGCCACCTGGCGCCATTTGAATGCGTGAGAAAAAAACAAAAGTTAGTATTTAGCGTAACCTAAAGCTACCTCAAGTGCATAAAATACAATTTCAAGCTATGCATGTTTTTTAAGCAAAATAGGTCTACTTGCGAGGATTTGTTCTCCTACCAGTAGATTGACCCTATTGCTGTTGGGTATCGCAAGCGGTCATTTCAACATCAACATTGTCAACATTCAACATCAAGTTAAAATTATAATTCTTTTTATGAGTCACATGCATGTTAGTTACCGCCAATGTGATGAACGATCTTATCATTCACGCCACAATCACAAAGTTTTTCGAGCGGCAGACAGTTTCTCTAAATAGGCCCTGCATTACTTATCCGAGTAACCGGTGTACAGTCACGCACGTGGCGGCCTCCAGCAGCGGTAGGAGTAATTGTGCAGCTCACGATGCTAAATTCAGCCAATGTCCGTGAATGCGGGTATACGGCGCGGCCATTTGTGTACAGGTCCATATTTCATGATAGAAAAGGGAATGATTTCTAGAGGACTTCGAGAAAAAAATTGAAGGATCCTTAAGCTTTGCCTTTAAGAGTTGGAACGCAAGAGGGATATTTTTTTCCTAGTGCGTATTTCAAGCAGTTATTGCATGAAAAGGGAATAGGCGCACTAAGGTGTGTCCCTTCTTTATTGCATCGGTGACCGGCTTTTCAGCAAAGAAGTCGTTATGTTATTCCCATTCACGGACGCGCGATTGTAGTGTACGCTTGTACCACACATTATTATTGCAATATTTCTTGTTGTATTGTGAAGCATGTATATAGGACGCGTGTGTTTGTAAAGCATGAAACTTACTTTCTCTGCATTTCCAAGCAGATCGATGAAGAGATTTTGCAGTATATTCACAAGGAGGGGCAAAACTGTGCCATAGAGCACCCGCTTGCGACGCAAACAACCCGTATTCGATCTCCAGTCAGAGCCAGAACTTTTGTATATTTATTTGATTCGCATCTTTCTCCATTTTTTTGGTCACACAGAAGATTTTTCGCTCATAACCAACAACGCTGATGCCGGAATTTCCGCAAAACGCGTCAATAATTGTGAAATCCAGGTCACGTGTTGTGCTATAATGTTGGGCTGTCGTGTTATCAGGGCCTTCTACTACCGACTGGCAGCCTTTCCTGACCGTGCTAAAAAGTGCTGCAGGGCGACTTGAAGTTATCAGCAATGGAGTGCATGAAAACGCTCTCAAAGGGCCATTCTTTACAGTTCAATGACGAGGGGGTGGTTTTCTAATTTCTTTCTCTACCCTTCTCACAGGCGGTGCATTATCCTTGGACCTTAGTCTGTGTCGTCGTTTTGTTCTCGCGCTATAACTATCGTCACGCCATACCAACTAGCCCAAGCTGCCACACTTCTTAGTTTTAAAAGCACGGGAACAATGTCAGCATTTAGTGCTAGAGCCTATCAGTATTTCAGGCGTATCGGCTACTCGCTGTTAACGCCTCTTGCACAGTTCTAAACACACGAAATGAAGTGTGATCGGTTGGTCCCGCAGGATATACCTGCAAGACTGGGGCAGCTGCATGGCAAAGCAGTGCAGGAGACAAATCACATTTGATATGTAGACCAGTCGAGAGCACGTATACTATAGACGTCACAGGAACTATGCGTCACAAAAGTGAGCAACAAAGACAAGACATATCAGGACAAAATATTGCACTCGTTTTTTTTTATTCTGAGAGCCTGGTTAGCAGCCATTCAAGGATTTTTTCTATGGCTGGAAACTTCAGCAATAAAATGCAGGTGAATGAACGTTCTTACATTGATATTTTTGAATGCGAAGGCATTTTTTAGTCGGGATATGTCAGAAGTCCGTCGGGATCTGTCCACCGCCCTCTTCCATGGCAATAGCTGCGGGCACGTGCGTCCCTAGCAACCGGAGTCCCCCCCCCCCCCCCCCATGTCTCGCTTCGGCGTCGGCAGCTGTCAGCAACAGCTGCGGGCACGCGCGCTTATTCTCGCCCCTAGCAACCAGAGCCCCCACCTCGTTGACTTGAACGTGACTTGCCACTGCCTCAATGCAGTGCGTTTGAAACGTGCTTGTGGCATTTGTGTTGCCAGCATTTGCGTAGCGTTTCTGTTGATAAGACGCTGATATTATGGCCGTCAGGTACAAAGACAGGTGCAGTGCTTCGCCGCTCCTCTCGCCGCTAGCTCTCTCTCCTCCCTGCGCCCCACTTTCTTCTCCGCTCGCGCCTCACTCTCAACCGTTCGCTGGCTGGGTGCCTATCAAGAACATTAAAAAATGGGAAGACCCGGAAATGTGGAGATGCGGAAATGTGAACATCCGAAATTGTGTACCAACCTCGAGCCGAAAACGCTGTTTCGTTTATTTCAAGGTATTCTTTCACCGAGCACACTAGCTACAAGAGCTGGACAAGCACGCCCCGCCGCGGTGGTCTAGTGGCTAAGGTACTCGGCTGCTGACCTGCAGGTCGCGGGATCGAATCCCGGCTGCGGCGGCTGCATTTCCGATGGAGGCGGAATGTTTGTAGCCCCGTGTGCTCAGATTCACGTGCGCGTTAAAGACCCCAGGTGGTCAAAATTTCCGGAGACCTCCACTACGGCGTTTCTCATAATAATATGGTGGTTTTGGGACGTTAAACACCACATATCAATCAATCAAGCTGGACAAGCACGCTGCGTTTTTCGCGATGGAAAAACGCCACCTGCGGCGAATGGCGCTATCGGCTGCACAGTTAAAAAAAACAATATTCTTCTAACTCTGGAATCTCGCGTACGAAACGCCGTTATGAACTCGACGCAATGCATTCACATGTCTTCACAATTTTCTTCGAGGAGGGGTGGTGTAGTTTTTTGTCAAAGCGACGGGTACGGCGCTCTTAGGACGTCCGGGCAATAGTCAGCTGTTTCCAACGCACATTGTATATACAGGGAGTATATTATAGGTCATTTCTGCGGAAGCACGTTAGGTGTAGAACGTCTCAAAACTTCAGAAAAGGGAAAAGCCGTCAACACCTCTGTTGTGGGAGTAACAGATGTATACAGCCCATACAGCTTTCTAGGTATAAGAAACTTCGCTTTCGAAGAGCGTGGCCCTGCTGTAGCGCTGGCGTCCAGAAGCAGCATCTGCACTGGACACGCGTTTTTCTTTTTTATTTTTCGTTTTCATAAGCTGGGAGAGGAAAAAAGTAAATTTCACAGGTTTTGTTTCACATAACGCTCAAAAGTTTTGCTCTAAAATTGTTTAATTTCAACAGACAATATACACGGTACGCTATATCTACGCAGAAGGTTAGACATCCATGGTTCTGTGTAGGCATAGCACAGAAAATGCATTTACAGCTAAAGATTCATTAACTTCGGTGTTGTGGCTTAGCTGGCATTGGATGAAGCAGGCATAGCAGTTCATAGGAGTTACGAGTGGACGCAAGAATATCGGTCACCTGACTTTGTTGGCATTTAGTGGTTAGCGTTCACTAAAGGACACGTGCAACTCGATATTGTCATGGGGTATAATGCGTTGACGAAGGCAGCAGTCGGTGTGTCCAAGATGAAACTTTGTTTTACCGTCGATAATCTGTCAAGCGGCCAAGCGCGTCGGCATTTATACGTGTGCCATGGAAGATTCTAACGTTATCGCTAGCGGCCGCGCGAGTTTCAGAACAAACTATTATGTTTGTGTTTTGCGTGTAATCTTAGAGCAAGGTTCTACTATTATCTAGATAGTTTCCAGTCAATCGGGCGCAGTTTGCGTCAGTCCGAAGTTACACATGTTACATGAAAATCGAGCGAAAGGAGCACACGTGGAAATATAATTGGCAAAGTAGAACCACGAGCTTGCGTTCGAGGGGCATGTACCCATGCTCGGATCCCTGCTGTACAGAGACAGCCAAAAGCACTGGAAATTCGTGCGTCAGATATAGTTAGTTTATCCGTATAAGTTATGTTTTTTGACAGAGATCAAGACTAACATTTTGACGTGCAGCATTATACAGTATATGGCTATCTTACACGCCTGTAACATTCGCCGCACCAGCGTGTGCGGGTGATACAGTCCTTTCCATCGGAAACATTCTTGAGCAGATTCTCGATGGGCTAAGTTCGTGGACGACAGATGCAAATAAAGGACACAATCTGACCATACGCGTGGGTGCGCGACATGCGACTACCTCCTCCTGCCCAAACTGGTAGGGGGGGGGGGTTACCCCTTCATAAGGGCCGTGTTACATGGTGAGAGAGTTGTATTAGATGCTATGAAATATGTGCTCAAGATAAAAAAAAATACAACTAACCCTAATTAAGCAGCCGCGTGGGGCAACTTTTCTCGCTATGATGATTTTTAGAGTTGGTCTGTACTAGCATTCGCATGGCATTATGAATTTATAAAAGAGAGCGCAAAGCTGAAATGATATCTTCGTCGTCCTATGCTTTGTTGGGCTCTTTAGTTATTACCTGAGTTGTAAAGGTAGTTAATAAACATTTTTGGTTATTTCTGGTATTCTCCCATACGTTGTTGAGCGCGTCTACCACATGCAGATTAAGAACGATATTCATTATTAGGCAGATTCGTTTCATATTGTTGGCACAAATTATACCGGGTATGCAGTGAGACCCCACTTCTTTAACATGCAGAAACCGTCGGCATGTATATATCTTCATATAAACAATTTTCGCAACTTCCTTTGACCTGTTAATTATTTAGCTGTTTAGGAATTATGGGTGCCAGAAATTCGAGTGCTTATATATGTGATGAACACCTCTTTTTCGTATTGCAGGATATGATCCTTCAACTGATAAAGGAAACAATCAAGAAAGGCTTACTGACAGCCAAGGGATTCCTCATTGATGGTTATCCCAGGAATGTCGAGCAAGGGGAACGCTTCGAGTCTGACGTAAGCTTTTTGTCTACGTGCAGCGGGGTGCTGTTAATGTATTTTACATATAAGGTAGCCTGTCCACGTCAAAGCACGTACGCCATTTGTGTTCACCCGTTGATATGCCTGATCGCCATACAAGAAGATCGAAATGAATCATGACAACTCACCATGCTGCCTAAACAATTTGGCGACTATATTTCGAAAACGTCCTTGCGTGTGGCTCCTGCAGCATGTCAACCGTTGGTAATGCAAGTAGTCGAGTTATATTGCTTGCTTTTCAGGATATATGTATATTCTTTATGTTGCTGCGCACATGGCTAGAGAAAATAGGGCCAGAAGAAAGCGGAGCTTCCAACTGGATTTTTTTTTCGTGAACACGCGCTACTCATTTGTGCCGCTGTGATGACACACATGGAATTGCTTTGGAAAGCGGTGTATATAAACAGTGATGAATTCTCTTGGACAGTCCTTTCTTCTAAGGCGACTATAAAGCGAACGCCTTCTTTTTTCTTTTCCGTACATGAATTGATCCTTGCAGGAAGCTCGCTACCTACCTCCGCGAGCTTCCTGCAATTAACCTGGCTCTGCGCTGCCTCTAGGATAGGAGTCGTTGCGAACTTTGGGCAGCCCACTGCCTTTTCATTGCCTCCATCATCAGCGCCACCGAGTGACGATGTCACGTGGTGACGTCGTCTTACGACGCCATGATGACGCCATCAATTTATGACAAATTTTGGTGATCTACGACTGTCATGGCATCAGGTGATGGTTTTTGTCTTCACTCGTAATAACGCCGACAGTAATATTTTGCATTTAATGAGGAATTGAAGGTCATCGCCCTTAATATATTACCAGATTAGACAGAGCCATAAATACATGGCAATGAAAAAAGAAAATACGTCCAAACTACACGTCCATAGGAGAAAGCCATGAAAAGAGCTGCGAAAGCTGGCGAGAACACATGTTGCATTACAACATCGTTTAATGCCATTGATATTTTATAAAGATGCCAATTTTTCTGCTCACCGCACTTGCACATTTTTCACCCTAAGCGTCCAGTCAAGGTGCTCCCTCACGTTTCGTCAGGTTGGGATATTTCGCGATAAATTGCGTAGTTTTTCGTCCCGTTGGCACAGCGTCCGACGGTAGAGTTGATCCATGGATGCTGATGTTGTTTCCAAGAACGCTCTAGGTAGACAAGTGGGAATAATAATAAATTGGTGTTACCTCTTCTTAAATTCTTGTATATTTGTGGCTCCAATAGCGCTGTCGCGCAAAGAGGGCATACATATTTTACAAGTGGGTGACATTGAATTGTCGTGAACCCTGGTTTTTTTTTGGTGGCTTCAATGGGGCCACTTTTTACGATTTTTAGAGTGCCCTCAACTTTTTCCAGTAGCAAGTCCTTGAATTTTTTTCCTCACATATATTGCCGTTTACAATGGTCAGCATATGCCTAAACCGGTGGCTTATAATGTATCTGTATCAAATGACCCTCACTTCAGTATGGCAGCTTGGGCTAGTTGGTATGACATGATGATAGTTATAGCACGAGAACAGAACGACGACACATAGAGTCGTGTCTTTCTTGTCTCTGTCTCGTCGTTCTCTTCTCTGGATATAGCTATGGTCCTCAGTCGAGATCTCGCGCTTTTGTATACGCTGCCATAGATTGGATATTTTGCCACTGGATGTTTGAAGCGTGGGATGGAGTTTCCTTCAAGAAGGCGGAGTAAAAGTTCCAGGATCTCGAACGATGTCTGTAGAACAGAGGACAACCTCATCTGGGACAGAGGCGAGTTTATGATGAGTAGGAGGGAGGAGGACGTGGTAAAGTGAACGTTCTTCGAACCACGTGAAATTTGCTAAGGTTCATTATCGGTTTTCCCTGCAAACGCTAGTACCGCAGTTCAAGAAGGGCAAGTAGCCCTGAATACATATACCAAAAGAGTCTACATCTCGGCACAATGGCGAGCAGCACCAGCGATTTTCACCCTAATTTAAAAAAAAAAAAAAACTTTGGTCATTATACGAATACAGCAGTTTTCGATGTTTGGTGAATATGGCATACAAAGTCTTGTATACGTTACAAATAATCCTTCAATGCCTGACCTGTACCAGCAAAACCACTCTGAAATGCAAAGCGCGCCAAGGGAGCGCCAATAAGCACATAACTTTTTACCAAGGTTACTACTCTGTAAGAAGTTTTTTCGTAGTTCAGAGACATGTGCTTTTAGAAGTATGACTATATACAGCAGAGCTAATTTGGTGCATGCCAGGAAATTACACCTTTTTCCCTCTGCGAAATCTAATTGGAACATAAGGGATCTTTCTGGGATTTCGGGACATCTGTACGGGGTGCCTTTTTGGCAGCAGCAACGATCACCTGGTGTAAGTGAATGTGAAAGAGGCAAAATAATCGTATATCTAAAAAAAGATAGGTACCAAAAAGTAATCCCGGTTCTACAATGCACTGACTTACTTGAAAGTTTTGCTAAAAGAACTGTCCCACTACTAAGTGTGACTTCCCAGCATGGTTGAATACACTCATTAGAAATACGTGGGCTGTATTGTAAAGGAAAAAACTCTCAGGGGAAGCCACGCGATTTGTATTTCGACTCTGCAGTGTTACCAAAATTTTCTTGTGAGTCCCTGCTGTACAACCTGGAGTTCTTCTTGGTGACTGGCTTTTTTGTCGGGTATGATTTTCTTTTCGCCTATCTGCCCTTTAGTTACGGCTGACCACCGCTGCCACAGGTGATGGATGGTGCTACATGCACATGTCTGATAAATTCTCGTCACGACGCCAATTTCACCGCCTTCACGGGAAACAGAAAAATGACATGTCGAAGAAGGACATCTCGTATAAGCAAGTTCTGTGATCTCTAGACAGTTAGTAGCAATATATCAGTCTTCACCAGATATTTCTAAGAAAAACCAACAAAAAACGAAAGATTTATATCATGACTATCATGCTGAATAATAAATATGAGTAATCACATATTCATTGCACATGAAACTGTGCAGGTGTGCAAGTGCACGAACCTGATCTACTTCGAGGTGTCAGACGATACGATGAAGGCCCGGCTTCTTAAGCGTGGCCAGACGAGTGGCCGCGTGGACGACAACGAGGACACCATCGTCAAGCGCATCAAGACCTTCCACGACGAGTCGGAGCCCGTGCTTCAGAAGTACAAATCTATTGTTCACAAGGTGGGCTTGTGACTTTCTTTCGAAAAAGGACTGTTTCCTTGCTTGCTGCGACGGTAAATTACGCAAGGCCCACAATCGAGGCCCACATTTTCTTACGCTGAAGTTTTTCATCAAAATTTCGGCAGCTCACTGGAGTTCCGAACGAGCGAAGGCAATTCAATCAAGAAGGTCTGAAACACTCTTGCAAGTAATCATTTAATAGCTCCGTTAAAAGAGCTTATTGCGTCACGAATCCACTACTGCTTTTAGAATCTGTCAAGTACGAGCATACAGGAATTCAGCGCTTATGGCGCTTTCACTCTGCTTTCATACTTGGGAGCGTGCGAAAAGCTACGCAGAGAAAGGGATGACAAGGGGGCGAAAATACGACGCCTTCGTCAGTGCGGGTCACGAGCTTGTTCACTTTCTTCGAACACCTGGCTTTCTTTCAGTGTGGTCGTGAGCTTGCGAGCAGACATATGGGGGCATCCTGTGGCGACCACCGTAGCTAGGGTGCTCACGATGCTCAAATTAGCCAATGGGTTTATCCATGATTGGTCGGATGAATAGGGAATGCTTTTTCTAGTTGTCATAGAACGACTTCTAAATTATAGGCTCGTGCCGAACTATAAATATCGGCTTGCGTGTTCTCAGGAGGTAATACCGATCGGCAGCGTTTTCTGGCCATGCTCAAAAAGAGATGCAGGGCTATTTGAATGGACCTACAAAAGCAAAAACACCATAAATCGTGGATGGGCTTTACGGTTTCTTAAGTGCCAGCATGGTTTGAACCGATGACATACGTGGATGCTACACTGCTCTGAGGTCCTTCAACTCTGATTTGAGCCCGGCGAACTTTACGCATAGCCTGAAGTGGCGTTATTACGCTTTCAATTTGGTTTCTCATCAAATGATTCACGTCCCGAAATTGTTGAGAACAAAATTATGTCTCCCAATGTTTTTTTTTAAACAGTTCAAATATTTGTGCTTGTTCATGCTGCTTTTTTACTACTGACGTTTGCTAACCCGGTATGTGCTATGTTAGTAAACGTCACTACTTCTATCGGCTGCGTTATGTGGTGCTGTTATTCTGACTGTGTTAAGAAATATACAGCTGAATTGTCATTTTTCTGAATTTGGTTCGAATAACTGCTTTATAATACGTCCTGACTAAAGATTGAATTTTAGACAAATGTCTATCTTGTTGCTTGCGTTCCTATTGTGCTACTTTGTTATAGCAGCATGAGTTAGGGGTTATTAAGGCCTTTTATATTGTTTTTATTGTGTCTCTAATTACTTATTTTCAAAATTGGTGTCATATAAACACTATTTGACCAGAGATTTTGATTCAAAGTACAGTTTCATACATTTATTCATGTTACCGGGCAATGCAGACTATTCAAAACTCTCTGGGGTGCAACCTAATTTTCTAGTTCGACAAACTTTCACAAAGAAACCACTGTGAAAGGGCACTCGCCAGCCTGCTTACGCCACCGCAACTAACATGGCGCGAGCGGTTGGAGGAGGACAGAAAAAGACGGCATTACTCCAAACCTAATAGCGAACATGTCTAAGCGTACACAGTAGGATGAGGAGAGAAAAAATAGAGGTAAGAAGAGTGGCGTCTATTGCTGAATACTAGGCGGGCGGCTTTTACATCTGTTTTTAAAATCCTTTAAGAACTGGGTGTGGTGGAAAGCAGGAAAAAGGAGGTGCCTGTGCGCAGCCACAGGAAGATGGGGAGTGAATGCAAACCAGGGAGTGCTTCCAGAACATAGTAGAGTGCAAGAAAAGTATTTTGAGAAATTCTACTTGGTTTTGGTTTGTAATTTACTTAAAGGCCGCTTCAGCAGGTCACTTTAGATATCTTAGGCACCGTAAGTTGTTGCGTTTTCATCGAAGAGCTTTTTACCAAAAAAATAATCAGTTCGTTGCGAGAGAAAGCGTGATACGAAGAGGTGAGATTTAAACATTTTCCAACCGAAACGTGTGAACTTCACAAGCCGAATGCCTACCCTGCCCTCTTCGGTATACCACAGCAACTCGTAGCCGGAAAATGACGCGATGCAGACGTATGAACACGTCGTGTGCTCAAATCGTTGCATGCGCATGACTTGCCCAAACTAGGTCATGAAGGCAAGCCTGGGCGTGTCGTTTCGGCGTTCTTTGTAGTGTACTGCCTGTTTCTGTGGAATGAATTACTCTATGCACACATTTGGGGAGGCCGGCGTGGATCGTGTATCCTTACCTATAACCCAGCGTCACCGCACTGAAACTGCTCTAAGAAACGACGCACTGAAGTGTTGTCAGGCTGGCACCGCCACGACGCGGGAACGGTAAAAACACGAACGCAAACGTATGGAGGCCACTTAGCTTCGCCTCTCACTCAGTTCGAAGTAAAAAATATATGTGATTACAAAAACAGGCAAAGATTCTGTTTGTTTTAATATTTCTGTCAACTATCATTCTTATATACCAATAACAGATCACGCAAACTACACATGTCCCCTCGAATAATTTTGACAGTGTCATGTGGTACTGCGGCGTAGGAAGACCTTTCCTCTCTGTATGTTACCTCTTCCATGTTGGGGCAAGTGCTGGTCAGTCAGACAATTCACCTCTTTCTGGGAAGCTTTCTGGTAAGAATGGCAAGAGTTCGAATTCACCTAGATTAAAAAGAAATGAAAGGCATAACCTGATACGCAAGAAGCCAATAATTAGGATTGTGTTGAGAAGTAAAGTACAGGAATTGATAGTTTTGCTTCAGATTAGATTCCCGGCTGTAAATTAGATCCCCGACGTGAGCGTTGGCAAAGTGAACGATAATCTTACTGCTATTATCAAAGAGGGAGCAATAAAAGTTTGAGGTACAGTCACTGGACGAGACATTTGCAAACCACCCCAGGAAACGAAAAATGTAATTGACCATGAAAGCCTCAAATGCAACTGACAAAATAGAGCTAGTGGAGCTTTCGAAGCTAATCAATCGGAGTAAGGTAGGCGACATCAGTAGGTATAACATCGGGAGAATCAAGCAGGCTATAAAGAACGGCGAAATTCTAAGAGCTGCGAAGGCAAATTCACGAAAAACCTGATGTATGCATTAAAGGACAAGGAAGATAATTTCATAACCATTAAGGATAGGGTGGTTGAGGTAGCGGAGGAGTTTGTTCTAGAGGAAGTTCTACAGAAGCCGAAACAACCAGGATTATATCGTAAGCAGCATTAATAGCCCAGAAGAATTCGACATTCTACTAATAACCAAAACAGAAGTAATGAATGCCCTAGACGGAATGCAAAGAGGCAAAGCCGCTGGTGAGTATAAGGTAACTATGGACCTGCTGTAACATAGCGAGAAAATTGTGTTGGAAAAACAGGCCACCTTATATACGAAGTGTCTCTTGACGGGAAGGGTACCAAAATCTTCGAAGAACGCGAACATCATCATAATCCATAAAAAACAGATGTCAAAGACTTTACAAATTACACTGATCAGCTTATTGTCCATTCTCCCTAAACCATTAACAATCATAACAGCTAGTAGAACTAGGGTCACATTAGAGTTCAATCAACCAAAGAGGATTTCGTACACGCTGCTCCAAAATAGACCATATTCATACTTATGATTGATATGCAGGGTTTAACGTCAGAAAACCACCATATGATTATGAGAAACGCCATAGTGGGGGGCTCCGAAAATTTCGTCCACGTGGGCTTCTTTAACGTGCATCCGAATCTGTACACATGGGCATACATCATTTCCCCCTCCATCAAAAATGCAGGTGCCGCCGCAGCCGGGATTCAATCCCGTGACCTGCGGGTCAGAATCCGAGTACCTTAGCCATTAGAACACCGCGGCGGGGCCCCATTCATACTATTCATCAGGTGATAGAGAAATGCTCTAAATATAACCAAGCTCTATACATTGCCTTCATAGATTTTGAGAAGGCGTTTTATTCAGTCGAGACACCAGCAGCAATGCAGGCACTACAAAATTAGGGCGTCGATGCACCCTACACAATCCATCTGGAAGAAATCTACAGAAGATCCACGGCCATTATAGTTCTCCCTAAAGAAAGCGACATGACCTCAATAAGGAAGGGTGTAACGCAGAGAGACGCAATCCTTCTAATGCTCTTCACCGCGTGTTTACAGGAGGTTTTCAGGGCCCCAGATTACGAAGAGTTAGGGATCGAGCTAATGGAAAGTACCTTAGTAGCTTGCGAGTATGATGCACTGATGACATTGCCTTGATGAGCAGCTTAGAGAACGAAATATAGCTCTTGAATACTGAACTGGACACGCAAAACAAAATAGTAGGTCTGAAAATGGTTATGCATATATCTAATGAGTAACACTTTCGGCAGAAAACATTGCTTCATGATAGGTGGAGAGACTTCTGTAAGTTGTAAAGGAATATATCTATTTAGGACAGTTATTGACCGCCAAGCCCAACCGTGAGAGTGAAATAACTAGAACGATAGGGATAGGGCAGATCACATTCGGCAAGCATTCTTGAATAATAAATGGTAATCTACCACTAAACCGTAAGCAGTATAACTGCTGGTCATGCAAATCAACTGCCTGGATTTGCCCAGAAGGAAAACAAACGAGGGGGAAACAGAAAGTTACGTAGGCCGATGAGATTAAGAAGTTCCCAGTTATGTGTTAGCAGAAAGCATGACTGGTATGATTGGCGGATCATGGGAGAGGCCTTTGTCCTGCTGTTGGCGTAGTTAAGCTGCTGATGATGCTCCGCAAGCCACGCAGAAAAAATTACAATTGATTGTCTTCATGCTAAGAACTGGTGCCTTTGTGCCATCACAAACTATAAGGTTTCATTATTTACGGTCGCAGAAAGGTTGCGCACCTGTTTCTACGAAAATTTTAGTTTTTATCAAAAATAAATATGCTGATATTTATCTTTTTTGGAGCCTAAAACTGTTTGGTCTACCTAGTTTTTGTGCCTAAAACACTGTTTTTAGTTTCTAAAAACCCGGGCTCAAGTGATAAAACACATACATGCAAAGAATGAGCTGTTAGAATGCGAATCCAAAAGATCAAATGCAAGACTAAGTTCATAGTCAGCTCAGCTGAAGAACCCAAAGTAGGGCTATATGTATATTCTGTCTGCTGCTAGTGTGTGTGTGTGTGTGTGTGTGTTTAAAATACATGGTGTGCCATTATACTTAAAACTTTCCTAGTCACGCCTCAAGGCTCGCGGCAAAGTTTTGATAAGGAATGTTGTGTTTATCTTTCAGATCTCATCTGAGGACGACCCGGACAAAGTGTTCGCATCGGTTACGGCTGTCATGGATGGCATTATTAAACCTAAATAGTCAAGAAATTGAAGGTTATGTGTCTGCAGCATGTTGGCCTTTACTTGCAGTGCTTTCAATCTGTAAGATTCAGATGACTTGTTTTACCATTGGGCTAGTCTGTGGCGCATTCTCTCCGCTCTTTCATGTAGATGATCAACTCGGCTTTTATTTCTAGTAATCGATCATTGTAAGGGACATCGTTGTGCGTCAGTGACTGTGACATTACTGGTTGCATGCCGAGTGCTTGAAATAGTAGGCTCGCAAGTATACTAAAAGGGGCCCGCCAACACTTTTCGAGTATGATCAGAAAACGCTGCCGATCGGTGGAGGCTCCAGACAACGCCCGAGCTAAATATTACAGCGCAGCACGCGGCCTTGAATTCACAATAAATTACCAAAGCCAGCTAAAAATTTCTTTCTCTTCTCTCAACCAATGACTGAAGACGCCCAAAAATCATTCGTAGAAAGTCCATCTATCAGCCATTGGCTGATTTGAACGTGGCGCGCTTACGTTGCAGAAATCGCCATGGGAGGCCACGACTTGTCCACGTGTGCGCGCGCAGTCACACTGATCTTGCCGCGCATTCGAAAAATAAAAAAAGTGTTCAAGGTCACGAGGCGCGGGTGGCGTGTTTTATTTGCCCCTGTCATCCCTCCCGGCTTAGTTTCCAGTGCTTTAGTGGGGACGATAGAGTGCAATTGCAGCGTGCGACAAATCTTTGTAACTCCACTCGCACTTGACAGAGTCCTAAAATTTTTGCGACGTTGAGATCGCAAGGCAATAAGCTCTTCTAGTAAATTCATTCAATGGTTACTTGAAAAAGCGTTACAGAGCCCCTTCAATGCTTTATTCATTTGTAGAGTTGATAACAGTATGGCGATTGTGGACTTTACTTGAAGGTTGTAGAAGAGGATAGAGGAAATCTGTACGAGTGTGCGAGCAGCTCTGGAAAACCTACGCAATGATTACACACTCCTATAGCTTTAGACTGAACGATATAGATATTTTTTAACGTGGCCAGCGCCATATTACCTAGCGGGCGACGCCGTCCTTGGTCTGGCAACCCACTGGAGCGTGCGAAGCTCCGCGTTTCTAAGGAAGGTATTCGTATGGTTGCAGTTCCAGTCGGGGTTTTTTTTTTTTTTTGCTTTATGGCGTGCTGAATCTCGTCTTGCATGGGGCAGTATGGATGATTTTCTGCAGCTAGCTTTTCTAAGCAAAGCTAGGTGGCTCCACCGCACCAAAGCACCACGGCCTTGTCCTAGGTGGCGCGACCGCGATGTGGCGTGTGGCGGACGTTGCCCTGCAGCCTGCGGCGGAAAACGGGTGGCATGGACGAGCGTAGAAAGAAAATATGTCTCGTTAGTAGTTTGTCGAGCCCGGTAAGCTGCCGGGCGACAATGTGAGAGTATTCGAAACACCGGTGCTCACAACACTGCCATGTCAACAGCGAACCCTAACCGCTGTGCCCGCTTCTCTGACTCGGGAGTGGTGGCGGCGAATCGGCCGGCCGTCGGCGACGGTGAAGTGAAAATAAGGCCATTAAATCACGTGTTCAAACGTGGTAGCACCCGTTCACCGCTGCGGGAAATCGTCTATAGGTAGAAAATCAGTGTGTTAGGCAACCTAAAAAGTTTTCATCCGTTCGGGGTCAAATATGATAATATGCGACAGCGCGAATGTGTCGCAAGTGGTCGGTGTCGTATGTTTTCGGCACTCTTTCTGTTAGAAAAACGCAAGCTTATTTCGACCCATTCAGGCAAGGTAAATGTTGGCACCCTTTAAAGATACAATAATTTTTTTTACTGGGCTGTATTATGTAAATTTCATTTTTTCATTGCAGCCCTGTTCGGGCTGCCGCAGCGTCTACCACTTGTAGTGCATGCGATCGTACGTGAGCACGCCGTTGCGATTTCTTAGTGATGATGGCATTCATTTGTTGCTTACAAACTGTTGTCTATCTTTTTCTCGACGTTTGATAAACTCTTATTACTGGCTCGTTTATTGCTCACTTGTGTGGATGAAATTAGAACTGGTGGTGCTTCTTTGCTTACTTTCTTGTCTCTATATGCTTTGGCTCGTACACACAACGGGGGACTGGCCTTTAAACCAGAGGTTTACTGTAATGGGGACAAGTTATTTCACATTTTTATGAAGAAAACATATGTATTCAGTCATTAAGGAAATATAAGAGAGGATATTCATAAGGTTATTTACGAATAAAGTAACTAACGATTGAAACAAATAAATGGATGGTCATTCCGAAGAACTAGATCCACTACATTAGTTAAAAAAAGAAAATTTAACAAGCAAACCTTCTTGTGGAGAAATTCACAAACTGCTATGCAGATGCTCCTAATGCTGTGGCCCAGAGAAGAAGCCCCAAGGGAAATGATATTTTTAGAAATAAGAGTATTGTTTACTTTCTGAATATAGTTTCTTAATGTTTCTTCTTGTGGCTTGTGAAACCTCGGCAAATATGTAAAAAAAATGATTGATATTTGCTGGCTCTTGGCAGTAAAAGCAAATGGGAGATAGCACCTGATCAGGCCTGTATGAATAGAAATTGAGAGGCGGAATCAGGCATCGAAATTTTGTGATGGACACTTCTGATTTGCGAGAGCGGCACCATTTATTGTTTCAAGCAAAATAAAAAGAAAGACGATCGTATTTTTGTATTGGTAAACTAAAAGTGATGGAATCATGAAGTAAAAAATATTTACGAAATAAAGATTCAGTGACAAAACTGGTATAAGATACAATAACATTGGAGGACCATCTCAGGATCACTGCACGAGAGTGCCAGCCATTTCATTTATAAGTATGCCTCGGTGACATGGCGCCAACACCAACCGCACTGTACTCAAGTGTTTTGGAATTAAAGAAGAGAAAGCATTTCAAGGAGAATACTCGAACGAAGGAGCTGAGGTTATGGACGTGCACCAAAAGCGATGTGGAAGTTCATATGCCAGCAAACTGCTTCTTCTTTTTTATAGTCGTGGATTTTGATTAAATTTCGGTGGCAATAAAGTGAAGATAGTTAAAGGTTCCTCTGCGGATGAGGCACCAAGCGAACTCGGCAGCCTCAAGCCTATGATCAGCCTAAGAACAATTTTGCGCGTATTTTTTTGAAATCTTGGTGGTCATACTTCGCAAAGGTAATCAACGAAATTGGCAGTTATAGAAACAAAATAGAACCACAACAAAGTGGTTTATATTTTGCTTTTCTTTTAGAATAAAATTAGCCATGTCGTATTTTGTTGTGCAACTTGTCAGACATGGTTCTTGACCACGCGAAGAATGTTCTTCTTGGGGTGGTTATTTCTAACACAGTGACACTTTTTTTTCCACAAGTTGGTTTTCATATTACACAGTGTGTGCAATAGACCCCGCCATCTTACGTAAGCAGTACACTCACGACAAGTATTGTACCGCGTGATTTTCATGCAAAATTCAGTGAATATTTAGGTTGCACAAGAACGGTGCGCAAAACAAATAAAGGTCTCATGGTGGTTACCCCGCTGCAAAGTGAGTGGTTTCTCGTCCTTGGTAATACGGCCATATTAACTACATTGATCACCGTGTTGAACCGAGCTACGAGGCTAATTCTTATGACCAAACGCATAATAATTGAATAAAAAAAAAGAAAGAAAACCACACACGTGGCTACCCGAGCGGTGCTTAGATGTTTTGTAAGGGACAAGGCTGTAGATTGCATTGCTTATGTTTGGGCGTCAGTGTAACCATATCCGATTGTCATTTGGCTAAGTGGAACACGGGCGACTCCGCGTGTACTGCGGCACCTGCTGATAGAGAACTTATCAGGTAACACGAACCATCTGTATCATGTAACAACCGCAAACACTGCGCGTTTGGTGATGCGTGCTGCATACTATTCAGGCGGCAGTTTCTTTTTTTTCTTCTATATTTCTTCGAACAACCAAAAAGCCAGTGTGGCTTCTCGTTGACCTTTCGCTAGCCGACATCGCCATCAAAGAGAAAAACATTCACTCTTAGACCTTCAACGTGGTAAATTGTTCGACAACGTCACTCATCCAAGAACCAGCCAGTACACTTTTTGAAAGTGGTAATGTAAAGGAAAAGAAAAGAAAAGTGCCGCCCGTAACTGTCTATCCTTAAGATGACACCTCAACAGGTAGTCACTGGGATAGGATAATGGGAATAAAAGGGATAGGTAAAAAATGCAAGAGATGATAGGGGAAAAAAGAAAAACGGGACTCATTCGACTCGCTTCACACAGCACGCGCCCGAACCAGCGCAACGCGCCGCCGACAGGGAAAGCTGACGAGAAAGTCAACACACAAGTAATGCGCACGATTTAACGTGGGCAAAAAGAAGAGCGGGGTCTTTCAAACTCACACAGTAAGTCCAGTCGACCCCGATGGATGCGCCACTTCAGAAGGCGAATCCTAAGGTATCGCGGCGAGCAGTGCCGCCGCACAAAATCGTGGCACCGAACAGTCGACTGCGAGCATCGGGATCACAGCACGTATGACCACCAGTAGTGTTTTGATCTTTGCGTCCGTCGAGAAGCCGGCAGAGGCCGCCCGCTTTCTCGTCGTCGTAAAGTACGCCGTCGAACTCTTGGAGACAGCGGCAGCAGCTTGCGAATGCGAGGTATCACGAGGTGTTTGCATCGCCATCGAGCGCGTGGTGGTGGCGACGGCAGAGGATGGCTGAGTAAACGATGAGGGTGAGGAGGAGGAATAAATGAGGAAGGACAGGGACGGCGGGGCACTTGTTTCACGTTGAAGGGTGACTTCCGATGTCGTGTCGCTGGTACCGTTGAGCGCATCCCGGAAAGAGCGGCCCTTGATCGTCGCGCTGCTCCAAGGGGTCCTGACGAGGCTTGGCAGCGAGTCACGGTGGCGCCATATGAGGCCATGATGACCACGGCTTTGCACTGGAGCTGCCACGAGGGGCAGTGCAGCTCGGTTGCGGAATTTTTTCCGCGACAGCTTATGCTGCGTGGATGTTCTGCTGCACGCGGTCCTGGGGCCTGCTTGGCGCCGCAGCGCAGGCACCGTTCGTCTTGCGAGCAAGTGGCGTTTGTGTGCCCGAAGCGGCCGCAACGAAAGCACTGCCGGGGCGTTGCTGGCGAGGACGGACAGGACGTCTTTGCGTTTAAAGCTGGATGCCAGGGGGGTCCATCGTCCCCGCAAATGTCAGGGTGAGGCAGTTGCCTCTGCGAACTCTGGTCAAGAGTGGCACTGATGAGATGATGTTGTCGGTGAGGTACTCAAAGGGGATCGTCTGGTACACTACAAAAACCATGCCAACACAGGTGTTTGGGTCCAGTTGCTTGGCCCGAGCCTGAGTCTCGCGAATCGCCCCAACCTGAAGCAGGGTGGTCAGATCGGCGGTGGGATACATGTCAACCGCAACCAAGTTGCGCTTGAAATCCACCGGTACACGTTGAGTGGCCGGGAACCCCGAGAGAAAAGCGGCGATTTCATCCCTCGACGAAGCCAGACATTTCGTACACTGCGCCGTCGGCACGCTCCAAAAAGGAAAAAGTTGGTCGCCAGTCCAATCCTCCTCACCCAATGGAACGGTCTATACGCAGTGGCCTGCTGGCTTGGCCAACGTTTATAGATACGTTTTCAGTTTCTGAACTCTTCCTTTTGAGGTGGGCGCGATTTGCTCCTGGAGAGTGTGGGGGCGCTGCAGTCTATCTTTGCGTTACTAACTTTGTTATAGGCTGTATTCACGTTAATAACTCAGTTATTCATGCTGTATCTCCAGGAACTAGACGTTAAATTAGAGGGGAGTCGACTCGGCTTCGGCCTCTCTTTTAACAAGCAAGGAAAGCACATTGAACAGATATTACCTGCGCCGATGTATGCAGATGATATAGTATTATTAGCCGACAACAAGGAAGATCTGCAGTGATTGATAGACATCTGTGACAATCAGAACGATAAGTTAAATTTGAAGTTCAGCAGGAAAAATTGGTGATCATCATTTTAATGATAACAAAGACAGTGAGCATAAGATGCAGGAAGTCACGCTAGAAACAGTTGATAAATAGAAATATTTGGGCGTATGGCTAAAAAAGGAGCTGAGTATCTAAGGGATCATGAAAGCTACGCAATGACTAAGAACACCAGGAATGCAGCTGTAATAAAAAATAGGGCACTGTGGAACTACAATAGGTATGACGTTGTGAGCGCGATTTGGAAAGGTGTCGTGGTCGCGGGTTTGACGTTCGGCAATGCGGTCTTGTGCATGAAATCAGAAGTTCAAGCAAGATTTGAAACTAAACAACGTGGCATAGGTAGACTTGCTTTGGGAGCACACGGGAATACCCCGAACCAGAGTGTACAGGTTGACATGGGATGGACATCGTTTGAGTGCAGGGAAGCTTGCAGCAAGGTAGAATTTGAGGAGCGATATAGAAAAATGGGAGTGGGGCATTGGGCTAGGAAAGTCTTCAGCTACTTGTGCATGAAGAATGTTGATACTTAATGGAGGAAGTGAACTCGAAAACTGCCAAGCAAGTATTAAAAAACAGCAAAATATAAATCAAAAGGAAACCTCGGTTAAGAAGGAGGTGAAGGAAACAAAGGGGACATGTGGAAGATGGGAATGCTTACGAAATCATCACTGGAGACCTACCGATCTTTTAAGCAGAAAATTGCAAGGGAAAAGATCCACGATAATTCTCGGGGTAGTTCTCTGCTCTTCGAGGCTATAACAGGAGTATTGTGGACCAAGACGTACCGAGCAAAATACGAAGGCGCAGACACGGTATGTAGTGCGTGTAGAGAGGAGGAGGAAACGGCTGAACATTTGATGATGTTCTATAAAGAGCTCGGCCCTGTAGTCGAAGATAATGGCGCCGATTGTTTCAAAGCATTGGAGCTTTGGGACCCTGAAGGCAAAATAACTTTAAACAGGTATAAATAACCAAGAGGAGGCTAATTGATTAGTGACTACAATCGAAGCTCGAGTGAAATTCTATCCTTCAACACACAGTAATAGTACTTAACTTTATGGCTTGGTGGCGTAAGCCACCACCCTATCTAAAGGGCACAGCCGGATGCATCCATTCATCCATCCAGCGACAAGTAACCGGCTGCTCTACATGCGTAGGCTTCACTGCCAGTGCAGTTGCGTGCGTTTCATGCTGGTGTTCGCTTGTTTCGGTGGCAATTTTTTTCCTGCGTAAATGTCTCGTCACTTTCTGTACACGTGGCATGTTTCCCCGGTATTCTCAAGACAATTCGACGCCTAAAGTCATGAAAACACTGCGACATGTATGACGTAGAAACTCCGATTGTTAACAATGCGAGCATGATCTGAGCATTGACCACGTGTTAATACATCGAGCACATGTGTATGCCTCCCGAGGTTGACTCTACTGTATCTGCACTTGCACCGTATCTCAGACCTCCGAGCATTATAAAGATGTGTTTTGTGCCTGGGCGCACCAGCGGGTACAGGAATTTCCCGAAAAAAAAAGCCACTTTTCTCCACCGTCCAACCCGCTGCTACTGTAGAAGTGGGAAGATCCGGGAAAGTTCGGGAAAGGTGCTCAAGGTGAATGATGTTCAGTTTCAAGAAAGCGGCATACTGAAGACATATAGGCATATCATAAAAGAACAAGTCGAAATCGACCATGGTGCATGCAGTTCCTGATTATTTCCGAACCTCCCGGTGTACTTTTCCTGGAACCGCAAAAGAAAGGGTACCTGTACAACAACTACCTGCTGCTGCCTACGGATCTGCCAGAGGATTCCCGGCAACAGGTACTCTCTCCTTCGGGGGACTCCAGTTTTTATGAGCGATTGGCAAAAAAGTTTGATTACTTCCCGGTAACTAGATGTTCAATGGTCCCTGAAGAGGTGGAAAAACTTCCGGTAACAATCTTGAATAATGCAGAATTCAAAGTATACATCTACTGGCACAGCGAAAGTACAAAGTGCGTCGCGAAGAAGTATTCATCACAAGGACTGTGTGCGCATGACTGGTGCTAATAGAGATATATGTGTCATGTGTCGTTTTAGCGATAACATTGGGGGAAAAAAAAGACTGGCAGAAACAACCGAGAAAAAGGCGCAGATTCAAAAAAGCGAATTACCGAAGCACTTGATCTGTAACACCGCCGCCGGAGACCGGAGAAAACTTGAGATACTCCGGCTGAGTGAGAAAAAATATATTGAAAAGTGCATCCCCAGCGGCTCTCAACGATTTTGTTTAATATTTATCTGAAGTGCAAATAGTGTCTATTTATTGTACATACATCATGCAATAAAAAGCAAAATCAGCAAACGTGTAAATGAACACAACAGATTGGCTCATGCTTTTGCAGCTCACAAGCCTGAATTGTTACAGGAATTCAGCTATGTGCTTGATTGAAATTCCAATGCTCGTTTCCAGTGTGTGATGGTGGCGAGTGTTGCTGTGTCAATGCGCTGATGTTTTCCTATTTTCACAAAATTTTCATTTTTTAAATGATCCGAAGTATTACGCACTGATGTGCACCCATAAGTATGAATAC